GATGATACTGTGCTTATGGGAGATTCTAAAGAAAAATTGCAAAGGTTAGTAGACAAGTTTGGGAGTGTGTGTAAAGGTAGAAAGTTGAAAGTGAACATAGAAAAGAGTAAGGTGATGAGGGTATCAAATGATTTAGATAAAGAAAAATTGGATATCAAATTGGGGAGGAGGAGTATGAAAGGAGTGAATGTTTTCAGATATTTGGGAGTTGACATGTCAGTAGATGGATTTATGAAGGATGAGGTTAATCATAGAATTGATGAAGGAAAAAAGGTGAGTGGTGCATTGAGGTATATGTGGAGACAAAAAATGTTATCTATGGAGGCAAAGAAGGGAATGTATGAAAGTATAGTAGTACCAACACTCTTATATGGGTGTGAAGCTTGGGTTGTAAATGCTGCAGCGAGGAGGCGGTTGGAGGGAGTGGAGATGTCCTGTCTAAGGGCAATGTGTGGTGTGAATATTATGCAGAAAATTCAGAGTGTGGAAATTAGGAGAAGGTGTGGAGTTAATAAAAGAATTAGTCAGAGGGCTGAAGAGGGGCTGTTGAGGTGGTTTGATCATTTAGAGAGAATGGTTCAAAGTAGAATGACATGGAGAGCGTATAAATCTGTAGGGGAAGGAAGGCGGGGTAGGGGTTGTCCTCGAAAAGGTTGGAGGGAGGGGGTAAAGACGGTTTTGTGGGTGAAGGGCTTGGACTTCCAGCTTTAGCACCACCAACCCAACAACACAGGAGTCACATGATTTCATCGTCTACCCGTCCTCATCCCAACATGACATTCTTCAGGTCACCATGCGTCACTCACACCTCACTCTCCACCTATATATATAATGTCTTTCTACCTCTGTATGTTAGAAGTGATCAAGGTCCCAGGACCGAAACATTTTCTAAATCGGTATTTATTACCAAGGTTTATACCACCCTGGATGTTGATACAGTGTTCCTTTATTGTCCCCATTGCACCCCTGCTCCTCACTGGGTTTATTTTACACTTCCTCCCACATCTCTCACTCCAGTATGTTGTTATGGCAGTGTGCAGATTTGGGACCAGGCCCTCGAGTACTTTCCATGTATGTATATATTATCATGTCTCTCTCTCTCCTCCGCTCCACCGAGTACATGTTCAAGACTTGAAGGCATTCCCAGTAGTTTAGGTGCTTTACTGGCTCAATGGGAGCCATAAACAATCTTTGTATTTGTTCCAGCTGCAATATTTCTCCTGCTTTGTATGGGGCCATCAGCAGTGAACAATATTCTAAGTGAGGGAGCACTAGTGGTTTGAAGAGTGTCACCATCGGCATTATTTACCTTGTTTTGAAAGTTCTCAGTACCCACCCTGTCATCTTCCTGGCTGTCATGATCTTTGTCTTGTTATGGTCTTGAAAAGAAAGGTCAGCTGACATAATTATTCCCTGGTCTTTTACGTGTTCCTTACACTCTATTTGGTGACCCTCTTGAGTTTTGTACAGTATATAGTGTTCCTTTTGAGTTCTTCATTCTTTCCATACCTAAGCAGCTGGAACTTGTCACCATTGAACGTCATGCTGTTCTCCACCGCCCACTGGAAAACCCTGCTTATGTCTTCCTGTAATTTTTCAGTCCTCTACCGTAGTGACTTTCAGATATTGTACTGGATAAATTGCAATTTATTTTTTTTATTATTAACACACAGGCTATCTTTCACCAAGGAAGGGTGGCCCAAAAAAGAAAAACTTTCACCATCATTGTTTTGCCAGAAGCAAGCTTACACTAGTTATAAAACTGCAACATTAACACCCCTCCTTCAGAGTGCAGGCACTGTACTTCCCATCTCCAGGACTGAAGTCTGGTCTGCCAGTTTCCCTGACTACCTTCATAAATGTTACCCTGTTCACACTCTAACAGCATGTCAAGTCCTAAAAACCATCCGCCTCCATTTGCTATCTAACATGCTCACACATGCTTGCTGGAAGTCCAAGCCCCTTGCACACAAAACCTCCTTTACCCCCTCCCTCCAACCTTTCCTAGGCCAACCCCTAAGCCACCTTCCCTCCACTACAGATTTATACACTTTCTAAGTCATTCTATTGTGTTCCACCCTTTCTACATGTCCGAACCTCCTCAGCCCTCTGGATAATATAGTTTTGGTAATCCTGCACCTCCTAATTTCCAAACTACAAATTCTCTGCATTATATTCACACCACACATTGCCCTCAGACATGACATCTCCACTGCCTCCATCCATCTCCTTGTTGCAATGTTCACCACCCATGCTTCACACCCACATAAAAGCGATGGTATAACTATACTCTCATATATTTCCCTCTTTGCTTCCATGGACAGAGTTCTTTGTCTCCACAGACTTCTCAGTACACCACTCAAATTTTTCCCTCATGAATTCTATGATTCACCTCGTCTTTCATAGACCCATCTGCCGAGATGTCCACTCCTAAATCTCTGAATATATTCACCTCCTCCATACTCTCTCCCTCCAATCTGATATCCAATCTTTCATTACCTAATTTTTTATTCTCATCACCTTACTCTTTCCTATATTCTTTTAATTTTCTTCTTTTACACAGCTTACCAAACTCATCCACCAACTTCTGCAACTTCTCTTCAGAATCTCCCAAAAGCACAAATGTCATCAGCAAATGTGATAACCATTTATAAAGGAGGTAGACCTTAGCTTCAAATTACAAATCAATCAGCATACTCCCAATTGTGGGACTAGGCTGACAGATCATGAAATAAATAACTAATGATGCAGTTCAAAGCCACCTTGAAAGATATTGCCTTACAAATTTATTAACCTTTTCCAGTGAGGTATTTGAGGCCAACAGATGACAGCAAAGAATATATTGTGTAATTGGACCTCAGTAAGGCCTTTCATAAAGTTCAACACAGGAGACTGATTTATTAATAAAGTAGCAACACATGGAATAGGAGAAATTCTCTCTCGAGTCGAGGTATGGCTGACTGAAAGGCAACAGAGTTTGTATTCTGCATAAATGACACTGATTGGGGAACAAACAGCAAATAAGTTTGCAGATGAAACTAAAACAGGTCATCAAGTAATATCTGATGTGGACACTAGAAGGCTACAGAATGACCTGGATAGGCTGCTGATGTGGTCAGAGAAGTGGCAGATGAAGTTCAATGCAAATAATTGTAAGGTTCTAATCCTAGAAAATGGAAATAACTATAGCATTCATAAGCATTCTTAGTCAAAGTGAATGCCAACAAGATCTAGCTTTAGTTAACAGAAATTTGAAGCCAAGACAACAGTGTAAGTGACTGCAATACAGCCTCTCCCCACTTAACAACAGAGTGAGGAACATATTATAGCAGTAGTAAGTGTGTCAACCATCTTTGATATTGTTTTAATGTCACCTTTGTGCCATTTATAACATTTCTGGTATATTTTTAAATGTTTATACAGTAGTGTACTGTATACTGAATTAAACAGAATAGAGTAAATCAGCTCTAATACACATTATTTAGGTATGAATACTGGTCAGAGAGCCCGTCGTAAGTCCGAGGCGTCGGTAAACGAGCATGTCGCTAAGTGAGAAAGGCTATAATAGAATTCTTGATTTCATATCAGAAAGTGTAAACAATATAAGTCTTAAGGTTATATATCAAATTTATATATGGTTGGATCTCATTTAGACTATGCTGCTTAGTTGTGGTCTTCATATTACAGGATAGACATAAATGATACAGAGAAGTTATTCCATGGATTAGAATCCTTTCCTACAAAAATAGGCTGAAGGCATTGAACCTGCAATCTTAGGAAAGGCATACAATTAGGGAAGATATAACTAAAGTGTACAAATGGAAAACAGGATTCAAGTTGGGAGAAATTTAAGATTTAGAAAAGATATTGGGAAGTACAAGTTTGGCATTAGAGTAGAAGAAAAATGTAATAAACTCCTGGGCAGAATCATTGAAGCAGGAACATAGGGTACCCGAGTAGGTGAGAGTTGGACCCCTAAGCATGGGCCAGTAGGCCTACTGCAGAGTTCCTTCATTCTTACCATCTTAAAATGCTTACTGTATAAGCAGTGGAGATAAAGTTGGCCAGGAAACACAGTTTCAGTATTTTCACGAGGAAGTGAAATATTGAAAACATTTTACTGGATTTAAACCGTCAGTTAGCAGAAATGTTCCCTGGGAAAAAAAGGTGTAGTCTCTTTTTTGTAATGAATTTTTCTTTTATTATATCAAGTGACAATACAGTGAATTTAGCTGAGAAAGAGAAACATTCCAGAGAAAAAAGGTTCACCCTTTTCACTTGAAAAACAAAAGTAGGGGAGCTATGTGCAGTCAAAGCCCACTGGTCTACCTACACTACAACTTTTATTCACCAACAGTAAATTTTGTTAACACTTACCTGTATAGTTCGAGCAGCTTTCATATGCTTGAATAATATTCTTGTTCTTCTTTTTCTCCAAGCAGTCTGAATTATAACAGCAGCCCTCTGCATGTATATGTATTGTTCCTGTGTACGAAGAGTCAAGTATGCCCCACGCCAGTATCTCTGTAACTTTACAACTGCTTCCATCTTTTGGCGATAGTGTCTCTGTGCAGACCAACAACGAATGTATGCTTGAATTTTAGTGGCTGCCAAGTGCTGCTTTCTTACATTCTGGCGTACCAGCATGCCTCGAACATATGCTTGCAAGGTAGTGGAGGCTTTTCCAAGGGTTTGATATGCTACCCTCTGCTTTCTGGCTTGGATCACAGCTCTCCACCATCGCTGAATAGTTAAAGTGGCTTTTACAGTTTTTACGTAGTTCTTCTGTACTAACCAACATCGTACACTGGCCTGCATCTTAATAATAGCTCTATACCGCTTTGTGTACTCTTTACGAACCAAATTTCCTCTAAAACTTCTTTGAAGTGTAATGACAGCACTTCTTTTCATGTGAAACTCTTTTTGCAACTTTTGTATTTCCTCAAGCCTTCTCCACCAATTTTGTATCAATAGCACACTGTGGGTCAACCTAGAGTATTCTCTGTGCACTATCCAACCTCGAAAACACGACTGAATCTTTAGTGATGCTTTCTTTTGTCGAGCAACTTTTGCACGCAAGAGTACTCCTCGAGTGAAAGCCTGAATGGTAACAATAGCATTCTTCACTTGAATGTAATTCTTCGTTGCCTCTTTGGTTAATACAATAGACCGCCACCATCTCTGTATTATGGTTACACTATACACTGTCTTCAGATATTCTCTTCTTAACAGCCATCCTCTGAAGACTGCCGCTATCTTGATTTGTGCACACCTCTGACGTGATATTTCTCTTCGTGTCAGCATCCCTCTCACTGAAGCTTGTAGTATAATAGTGGCTGTTCTAATGGCACAGTACTGTGTATGATGTATTTTAGTTTTCTTTACAGAGCGTACCCATCTCTGGATTTTAACAGCTGAAGCGACCATTTTCTTGTATTTCTGGGATAACAAGAAACAACGCATGTGTGATTGGATCACTGTTGCTGCCCTGTGCTGCTGATTAACAGCCCTGCGTAGCAACATCCCTCGAACACCTGCCTGTATGATTACTGCTGACCGTCGTACAACATGGTACTTCTCAAAATGACTGCGAGCTTCTTTTGTGCATCGCCACCAACTCTGAATTTTAATGGCATTATTTCTAATCTCTCTGTAATTTTTATGTGCTAAATAACATTTAAAATTAGACTGAATCTTTATGGCTGCAGTCCTTCTGTTTTCATAGTCTGACTGTTGACTTCGCATTTTAAGAATTGACGTCCACCATCTCTGAATAAGTTTAACATGCAGCACCATTTTTTTATATTCCCTTTGTATCAACCACTTTCTTACATGGGACTGAATTTTTTCAGCTGCTCTATGCTGCTGGCTAATTTCCCTTCGAACTAACATGCCTCGAATACCTGCCTGTAAAGTGATTATGGCATTTCTTGAAAGAAGGTAATTAGATTTTTGCCTATGCATTTCCTTTATAGACCTCCACCATCTCTGAATCTTCACAATACTATGTCTATGCTTCATAAACTGTTGTTTCTGATGATGTGCCCTGTAAAAGGTCTGTATGGATGTTGCTGCTACATGTAATTTCTCAAGATGTCTTATTACCAAAAACCTTCTCACTGATGCCTGCAAAACTACAGCAGCAGCTTTTTTCCTCAAAAATTCTCTATGAGCTGCTTGATTTATCTTGGTTTGCCTCCACCACTGCTGGATTATCTTTGTACTCTCTTTAATCCTTTGATATTTTTTGTACTCTAGGCAACAGCGAACATGCGACTGGAGAACTATTGCTGCGCTGTGAGACTTTCTGATTTCTCTTCTAACAATAGTACCTCTCCAAACAGACTGAGTCATAATAACTGCACCTCGAATGATATGATAATTTTCCCTTTCCTTCCACATCATTAAAGTGGCTCTCCAGTGTTGTTGCAGAGTTTTCACACATTTATGAAGCTTTAAATATTTCTTTCGAATCAACCATGATCTAACAGAGGCTTGAATTGTTGCTGCAGCTTTGTGCTTCTGTTTCAGAGTTCGTCTGACCAAGAATCCTCGGACAGATGCTTGAAGAATGGTAATAGATGATCGCTTAGTCAGATACTCCTGCCTAGTTACTTGTGTCAGTCTGCATTGTTTGTAATATCTCTGGATTATTGTTGCTGCTGCTTTTTGTTGGAGAAACTGCTTTCTTGCCAGGTAAGAACGAATACAAGACTGCAACAATGTTGCTGATTGTTTTTTTCTCTTTAGGTTTTGCCTTGCAAGGAAGCCTCTGACAACTGCCTGAGATGTAGTTATGCATCTACATTTATACAAGTAATTGTTCCTTATTTTCTTTCCAAGCTGAAAAGTTCTGTAGTATCTCTGGATTACAAGAGCCCCTTTCCTCTGTTCCAAATACCTCCTCCTCATTGACCATCCACGAAAATGAGCCTGAATACAGCAGGCTGCAGTCCTCTTTGCAGAGAGGTTCTTCCTCACAATGTAGCCCCTGACAAGTGCCTGGAGGTGAACCACAGTATTTATGGTTTTGATATAATTGCTCCTTGCCTCTCTTTTCAAGCAGAAACTTCTAAATGTTTTTTGTATCAAAACTGCAGCAATTCTCTGGGCTTTGTATTGTTTTTGCTGCCAATACATCTTCCATGACCTCTGAATAACAAGAGCAGCTTCCTGTATTGCCATCATTTGTTTCCTAACTAAGTAGCCTCTCACCACCGCCTGCACAAGAATGATCTTATTTCGGGTATCTGTGAACTCTCTTCTAATAACAATTCCTAAAGAATAGCTTCTCAGACATTGTTGGATTACAATAGCAGCATTTCTCTTCTTCATGTATGTATGTCGCATTTGCCAGCCTCTGTATCTTGCTTGGATTTTTGCAGCAGCTTGATGTTTCTGCTTCAACTGCTTTCTTACCAAATATCCTCTGGTAATAGCTTGCAGACTAATAACACTCCTCTTAACCATCTTAAACTGATTTCGCGCATGTTTCTTTAACTGGTAGGCCCGGAAAAATCTTTGCACTTTGGTTGCTGCAGCTTTCTTGGTAAGATATAGCTTGCGGGTTCGTACACAGCGAAACCACGACTGTATTCTAAGGCAAGCAGTCTTCTCAAGTATGAATCTTCGATATCTCAGCCAACCTCGAACCTGAAAGAAAAAAAAAAAAATATCAGACTTTTTATAGTAAAACTAAAATATTCATAAATTTATATCAATGAAAAATAATAAGCAAAGAGTATATCTTCAATGCAAGTCATACAGAATTACAGACAAAAGTTAACTAGTCCAGAAATACAAGTCCTATCTTTATGTAAATCTTGTCTCTACAAGTTTACATCACAGGTTTTTGCCTCCAGTATTCGAGTTCTCTGCCTCTCCTAAACGATTAAAGGAATCACTCAAAAGTTCTATTGCATCCATAAAAAATGCTCGGTCTTGCCACTACTAGAGGCAAACCCTATTAAACAGACAAATGATTAGTTGAAATTTGCTAAGTGATAAAATATAGTATCTATTCATGAAAGATCTGTCAGCATACTGGTTCTCTCTCAAGGCTTAAATCAGCACCAAAGATTAGTCCAAGACTACTAACATTCTGAAGTAACAAAACCCTCCATCACTGAAGTCAACTACAGTGGAATCTCAAAAATCGAACGTATCACATATCGAACGTTTCGAAAATAAGACCATTTTTTTCGGACAAACTGTGTCCCTATTATCGAACGCGCCCCTATTTTCGGACCGCCTTGTACGGGACTTGTCCGCTGGCCCGCTCTGTCCGCGTCCCCGCGCAGGCGCCGTGAACAGTCTAGCTTTGTTTATGCTTGAGTGAACACTAACCTGCGATCTCATTCACACATTTTACGATTATTTAATTGTGTTTAGTGCTTGTGGGGCTGTGAAATAAGCTGCCATGGGCCCAAAGAAACTTGCTAGCGGTACCCCTGTAGTAAAGAAAGCGAGAAACACCATAGATGTGAACAAGGAAATAATACAGAAGTATGAGATTGGAGTGAGACTTATTGAGCTTGCCAGGATGTACAGAGGACTGTGGACAGTTATTTTGTGAGACAGAAACAGACGACTGTGGACAGTTATTTTGTGAGACAAACAGACAACTGTGGAGTTATTTTGCGAGAAAGAAACACACAACTGTGGAGTTACTTTGTGAGACAAACAGACGACTGTGGGCAGTTATTTTGTGAGACAAACAGACGACTGTGGACAGTTATTTTGTGAGACAGAAATAGACGACTGTGGAGTTATTTTGAGACAGACGATTGTGGACAGTTATTTTGTGAGACAGAAACAGACGACTGTGGATAGTTATTTTGTGAGACAGAAACAGAGGACTGTAGACAGTTATTTTGTGAGACTGGGGTCCAATGACTCTCAAGCTGGTCCTAGTGGCATTAAAATACAGAGAAGGGAAGCAACCCCAGAGAGGGCTTTGATACCAGAAGTCCTCATGGAGGGGGATTCTCCTTCCATACAATAACCCCAACTCCCTCTCTCCTCCTCCCTATCTTCCAGATGCCATCACCAATCTTCAATAAAGGTAAGTAAAAATGTTATTTTATATTACTATACATAATTAAAGACTAGCATTTGTTGTGTGTATGTAAAACTAATTAATCTCTATAAAATGTATTTTTTTGTGTGAATATTTTTGGGTTTCTGGAACGGATTAATTGTATTTCCATTATTTCTTATGGGAAATATTGCTTCGAATTTCAGATTTTCGAATTTAGAACTAGCTCCTGGAACGGATTAAGTTCAAAATTTGAGGTTCCACTGTATTATATAACTGCATAAAAACAAGCAGTTAAGTTTGTTAAAGCAAGCTACCTTTTACAAAAAATGGATTAGATATTTACAAGGATTCTCACACAGTAAAAACAATCAAAAACATACCTTAGCTTGAATTATAATTATTGCAGTTCTTTGGGCCATGTATGCTAATTTTGCAGTCTTCATACTCTGATAGGCACGATTGTACCTCTGGATTATTATTGCAGCTGATTTCTGGTTCTGATACTTCTGTCTCTGCTTTTGCATCCTGTATAAAGACTGGAGTTTGATAGTAGCAGATCGTAATGCCTCATAATCAGTCTTCACCTTTTTACCAGTAACAGTAGCCCTATAATACTGCTGAATAATTTGGGCAGACTTTTTCTTTAAAATGAAGATTTTCTTCATAAGAATCATCCTGGTCCATGCTTGAAGAGTAATACATGCCACTTTTCTCACATGGTAATCACGGTAAACTTGACGACCAAGTATGAGGGCACGAAAATGTTGCTGAATTGTAATGGTTGCTCTAAGAGTGGCTTGATAATTCTGCCTGGCTTGATACATTCTCCAGTAAGTTTGGATTGTAATACATGCAGACTTCCTAAACAAGTAATCTGCTCTGGTGTTCTTAGACAATCTGTAAGCCCTGTATGAGCTCTGAATTTTACTTATAGCTTCTCTCCTCCTTTGATAAATCTTATAAGCTTGCTTCATTCGAAGGTGACTTTGGATTACTATACATGCTTTTTTTAATCTCTGCATATTTTGTCTAGCAAGAAAGCCTCGCCAATGAGCTTGAAGAATGATAGCAGAACACCTCATGTCTTGATATTCTCTTTGAGCTTGGCAAGATTTCAACCATGCTCTTGTATATTTCTGAATAACTACAGCACTCTGACGAATATTTTTATAATTCTTGCGAGCAGCACATCCTTTGGCATATTTCTGAATAATGACAGCAGCTGCTTGTTTTCTGCGATAATTCTTCTGGGCTTGATGCATACGTATGAAGGACTGGATTTTAATCGTGGCTTGCTTCATCCTAAGATAAGAATTCCTCTGGTCCTTCATTAACTTATGAGCACGATATCTGTGCTGGATAGTTACTGCAGAAGCTTTCCATCTATTATACTGATGATGCTTTAGCCAACTTCGAATTGCAGCCTGGGCCAAGATTAAACCTCTGGTAAGTCTTGCATACTTCGTTCTCTCCTTATATGATCGATATGAAGCTTGAATGATAACTGTGCTTCTCCTTAGGGATACAAACTTCTCTCTCTCTATTAACATGGACTTTCTAGCTCTAAAGGCCTGTTGAAGGATAACTGCAGCTTTCCTTTTATTATGGAATTCTTTGAAAGCTATCCATCTTCTTACATGTGCTTGTAGCAGTACCACAGATTTCTTGAGCTTCAAAAAATTATCCTGTGCTTGTTTTCCACGCCATGCTGTCTGAATTATTATGACAGAGATTCTTAAATGCTGATAATGTGCATGCTGTTGTTTCATAACTAACCATGATCGAATGCATCTCTGGATAGTAATGGCTGCACATACTCTTTGTTGGTAATTTTGTCTCTGCTTCCACATTCGATAAATACTCTGAAGGCAAATGGCAGCCTGAAGTTTCTTTTTGAAAAGCTTTCGAACATTATGTCCTCTTACAGATGCCTGAATTCTTATTGCTGCTTGGCGCATCATCAAAAACCTCCTCCTTTCTAGCAGCATATTCATTTTTCTTCTCCACTGATTCTGTACATACTGTGTGATATTCTTGAGCTCTAAATAAAGTTTTCTCTGCTGCCTCATCCTAAATGTTGACTGAATACTAATAGCAGATGATCGAAGCTTCATGTAATGCTTTCTGACCAGGTATGAACGAATGCTAGATTGAAGAATGATAGCAACATGGGTCAATTGAAGATACTGTTCTCGTATCTGACGAGCTTCAAGAGTTGCTCTCCATTTCATTTGCAACACAACAGAAGCCTTTTGCATTGCTTTGTACCTTCTCTGGCATACAAGTCTACGAGTATGGGCCTGCAGAACAACTGTTGCTCGACGTAATTTCAGGTACTTATTTTTCTCCAGGCAAATTCTCAGAAACCTGGTAATAGTATAGGCTGCACACTTTTCTTTTGCTCTTCTTTGAGCTGCTTTCTTTCTTAGTACAGTACGCCACCATCTTTGTATACTTATCACTGCTTTCAACTTTTGCTTATAGTTTTCTTGAATATTTCTTGCATACAATTTTCTTCGGTACCTTCTTTGGGCCTCTGTAATAACTCTTATGGTACGTAGGTATTTCTGTCTGCTGTTCCAAGTCCTCAAAGCTGTTTGAATTACAACAGCAGCTTGTCTGGTATGTAGGAACACGCGTCTCTGAAGGCAAGTCTTCCAAGCTCGCTGAATTGTTATGGCAGCCCTACAACGACGAAGATATCGTCTCGTAACATAACGACGAAATGCTGACTGAATGATGTGGGCGGCATCGTGCTGCAAGTTAATAAATCATTATTAACCGAGACCAGAAGTTGACACTGAGCAAATAAAAATAGGAAGTAAGCTAAGCTGTACTTAACTACCAAACAGTATGCCATTTTAAAATACAACAGAACAAGAATAAATTTACTTACAAATAAGCAATAATCAAAATACAGTGGACCCCCGGTTAACGATATTTTTTCACTCCAGAAGTATGTTCAGGTGCCAGTACTGACCGAATTTGTTTCCATAAGGAATATTGTGAAGTAGATTAGTCCATTTCAGAGCCCCAAACATACATGTACAAACGCACTTACATAAATACACTTACATAATTGGTCGCATTCGGAGGTGATCGTTGTGTGGGGGTCCACTGTACTGGGGCGATAACACTGACACTTCTTATATTCAAAATTAATTTTACCAAAATTGCAGCAGATTGACTAAAGAAAAATCAAACAAATTAAAGTATCTGAATGTTTTGTGGGTGTGTGTGCATGCCTAGTTATTTTTGAGTGATGGTGGCAGTCTTTTTTTGTGTTAGTTACAGGAGACAATGATGTATGAATGGTTGTACTGACAGCTATGAAATTATTACACCGATTCCGTGTATAATTTTGGTGAAAGTATATAAACCATATCGATAGTGCCAAGAAACTAGCACCTTCAAACCCAGTATCACTGAAAAAGTGAATGTCGTTGTTCAATGATAGTGCGTGCATTTGGATAAACCATATGGTCAGTGAAGGCATCTCATATCACAAACTTCTTGAAAAATCACACAATACAGTTGCCTACCACCTGGCATCTGCGTGCATAAAACAAATCACTAGAAAAAAGCAGTAATATAACTAAGTGATATCTATAAGTTCAAGTAAATCACATTAATGAGAATGAGGAAAAACACTGGCTGTAAGCTAAGAAGTTCTTAAACCTGATAATACCTCATCTTAATATCTTCAAATTTTCAATGCTGGTTTACTGTTACTAGGGGAAGGTTCATGCATCTATTGGATTACTAAGTGTCCTCTGGTCAATTTTATAGACGATTCACAAATTTGGTTTCTGTGCGACAATTTGAAAGAACTTCCATTATGAGACTTTAAACACTATTGTGCCTAAGCATTTTGCCATTCATTTCTACAATAAATGTTTTTCACAACACAATAAGGAAAAATTAACTTGCCTTCCTCTGCAGCTGCTTTTTGTGCTTGAGGTTTTCTACCAACATGTATGCGCACCTTCTGCGCCAATAAGCCTGCAGCACAATGGCTGCCCTTTCATATATTTCTCTTTGCTTGCGATGACAAATGACCCGCCACCAACGCTGTACAATAATAGCAGCCTGTGTGTGTACCTGTGAAAACAGTTATAAAAACAGTACTGCAGTGACATCTTGTGCAGTAGATTTTGTCAGATACTGCTATGAGTGAATACCAATTTTAAGCTTAGTAAATACTTCGGGGAAAAGTGACAAAGAAAGCACACATTCACCACTCTTTCCCTAGCTATCTATCATGAAAAACATGACCTTACAATTCAAAAGGATCCACCTAACCGACATCCCCAGTTAGGTGGTTCTGTCTCTCACCTATTGAAAATAGGTCTGGCTAATCCATCTAACAATTACACTGTACATTTTTTTCAACACAATGGCTGACTTCCATCGAGGCAGGGTGACCCAAAATAATTTTTTTTTTTTTTTTACATTTAGTAATTTATACAGATGTTACTAGCCCCTTGCTGCCAACATTTTAGTTGCCTTTTATAACAGGCATGGCTTGCAAAATATTTTTCCCCACTTCCCCGAAAAGGGGGGGGGGGGAAGACAGGCAGGCAGGCAGACACAGACGTATTTTTTTTATTTATTTTTTTACATTGGCCATCTCTCACATGGCAGGGTCCTGCCAGAGGCACACAAATACAACAGTTTGCAGGTCATTCTAAACAGTAAATATCCCAAACCCCTCCTTTACAGTGCAGGCACTGTACTTCCCACCTCCAGGACTCAATTCTGGATAACCAGTTTCCCCAAATTCCTTCACAAAATAATGCCCTGCTCACACTCCAACAGCTTGTCAAGTCCCCAACACTATTCATCTCCACTCACTCCTAACAGTATTTCCTCTTCCAGTTGCCTTCAGGAAGTGGGCTAGAAGTGTTACCCTGTAAGCCATGTGTACTAGAAAGCAACTGAAATGCTTGAAAGAGCTAGTATGCTGTGTATGCACTTACAGTATGTATTATGAAGAAAATTCATTAGATACAAATGAAGGATTGCTGTAAATTTTTACTGAAACATACCTATAACAGTTCTACAAATTTCTTTTACTTCTGCAGCAGCTTAAGGCTAGGCTACATAACTAAGTTGACTATTGTTACCTGCAAATGATTAGGCACCTACAGAAACATCTTGTTTCTTGTGAGAACTACCAAAGGCAATTTTTTTTTTTACTGCTAATGGAAGACTGAAAAATCTTGGAATACAGGTGTTAACAGTACTCTGTGCTTGTGGCACCCACTTTTCATCATATTTATGCAAAATACCTGTCCATCTCATTCCAGTAAGTGGTTATGACAGTTATGGTGAAAGTTTTTCTTTTTTTGGGTCACCCTGCTTCAGTGGGAGACAGCCGGAGTGTTAAAAAACACTAAACCCTTCTGGGTCATACAATGCTGCATGTTTATCTGGAGGGTTATTGGAGTTTGTGTCTTTAGTCAGACAGTGTAAAATAAAGCTTATGGCATAAAAGGCCAATTTCCTTCCATATCATAACCAAGTACAGTGGAACCTCAAATATCGAACTTTCTTCGGTCCAGAAGGCTGTTCGAGTGCCTTTACCGAATGAATTTATTCCCATCAGGAATAATGTAAATTAGATTAGTCCATTTCAGACCCTCAAAAATACACTTATAAAAGCACTTACAAAAATACACTTACATAATTGGTCGTGTTGGGAGCAGTTCGATTTTTGAGGTTCCACTGTATGCTTTAAAGGTAGAACTTTCAGTGAGATGGGCAGGAAGAGAACACATCTGGGCATTGATGTTGGAAGTGTATTATATGTGCTATCTGCTATATAAAATGTTTATTAGATGTATTGTGTTCAGTGACCTGGCAGTCTTCACAGAAAGGCACCATGAAGTGCCCATTTGAGGTGTGCATGTCCAATTCACAATCATGTGAGAATAGTTCCTTATGTATAAAAACTTTGGAAAAATGGCAGTGTATAATTCTGGTTTAAAGGAGACAAACTTATTGTGCCTTAACTCAGACCAACATTGTCATCAACAAATTCAAGCTGTTAAGAAATCAGACTGTATGATAGTCTGGAGGGAGGGAGAGGGAAAAAAGTTAGTAAATTTTGACTGGAAGATTGATCTGCCAAGTCTGCATGCTCACTGACTTGACAATCAGTGTCCTAGAATCTAGCAAAATACAATGTCTGTTTGCTGGAAAAAGTGTGTACCCAAAGTGGCATACAGAGAGCTTAAGAAACACAGTAGGGTTCTGGAGAAAGGCTGCTACTAGGCGAGAGTCAGCACCTGCACAAGCTATAGCAAAATCACCGACAGACAACCAAATATCAAATGGGAGAACAGAAGCAAGGTCACTGATAGTCAAGTAGAAAGAGTGATGCTAAGAGTGCAACCATGAGACCTTCAGTCTGAACAGTCAGGGAAAACCGATTAACCCAGACACACAAATGTCTCTCAGACAGGAAATTTTCCAGGAAAAGTGGCACATACACAGGTATCTAAATGAAGTATGGAATCAATTGAAGATTGGCCCTTGTGAAAGTCAAACTGATGAGAGAAAAGACAATTATGTCTCCGAATACCACACCAAACATTTATTTACCATACATTCCAATTTGCAAACTGCATTAATAAGAGCAATGGGTCAATAGTGAGAAGCATCATTACTTATGAAAGAGCAGAACAATACAAAATAGTAACCCCCACAGAGAGAAGCTTACGATGACAATGTCAGTTATCTATGGACAAGGAAGAACCCCTTGCAACCAAACAAGATTGAAGACATAAGAGGACTAAGAAGGCTGTTGGACATAAATGTTAAAAGCATACAAATATGAATGCCATCAGGCCCAGCTGCTGATGGTTGGCAAGTGGAAAGTACCGACTCAAGTTTGCAAAGCATGAGAGGCATATTATAAGATTATGCTAGAAATAAAATCTAAAGGTGTTAACACAGGCAGATTGGGAGGATAAAAAACAAGGGGCAAAGATGGAGCACCTGAGATATATGTATAAGATGATTCCCAATTTCTGTGGCAACTTTAGCAGGGTCTGCAATGCTGACACCAGCAACCTTAAGAATAGGAGTTGGGTCTGAGTACTTGCCACTCAATTCTGCACTTGTTTCCAAACTACACTCATAGAAGCAGTGGAATTAATGGTAGAAACAATCCCACCAACAAGTGCATTTTGCCTTATGAATTACATGCCAGGCAACACCCTTGCTTGTTTAAAGTCAAGGAGCCACTCTGTTGCTCTATTGCAAAGGTAGAGGTCCACACAGCAAATTTCAAGTGCACTGCACTAGCAGGAGTCCACTAACATATGCATGTCTAAGGATATCTACCCAAGCTTGGGGCACTGGATTTGAAGCTGCAGTTAAAACAGAGGTCAAATATTTTTAACAGCTTATCTGGGGAGGACTGAGGTCGTCCCTCACCAAAAAAATGTTTGACATGAGCAAGAGGCCCGATCTGCCAACATGAATTATGACAAGGTCAGGAATATGAATGGGAATTAAAGAGGATAGGGAAATGATTGCTGTCATGTAAAATCTGGTACTACAAAGTCCAGTCATGCACAGTTGAGAGTAAAAAGAAAAATCTATGCACGAGTGCTGGGGTGTGACTCAAAATGAGTGGGAGTACCATTCACTTCATGGAGAAGAATTTTTTTTTTTTTATATTTCACTCACTACACAGACCCATTATCTCATGTCTGGGCCAAAATTTACCACTCACAGCATATTTGAGGGTGGTCTTAACCCTTTGACTGTTTACGTTGTATATATACGTCTTATTCGCCACTGTTTCCGACGTATTTACACGCGTAAATTCTAGCGGCTTCAAATCAAGGAGAAAACTGGTAGGCCCACATATGAGAGAATGGGTCTGTGTGATCAGTGTGCACCACAAAAAAATAATCCTGCAGCACGCAGTGCGCAATGAGGAGAAAAAAAAACCTGACCATTTTTTTGGATTAAAATGCCGATTTTGAGGTGTATTTTCGTATAGTATTTATCGTTGTATTCTCATTTTCATGGTCTCAGGTGATAAAATGGAAAACACATTACAGAAATAGAGATGATTTTCATTACTTTCACGATGAAAACGACCTTGAAATTGAGCTCAAAGTAGCAGAAATGTTCGATTTTTACCAATGTTCAGGAGTAAGCAAATTACACCACACGTCCAGTACACATCAACCGGGGAGTCTATTCCTTTACTAGTGCACTGATATTATTTATACCATTTTTACAATAATACATTAGTCTGCATAACAGTAAATTTTATACTTTTTGTATGAATAAAAAATCAAAATAGAAAGCAACAGTAATATAAGAGGGGCCTAGAGATGTGACTAATGAACAGATTATTATTATTATAATAAAAAAGAAGCACTAAACCACAAGGACTATACAGTGCTGCAGGGCAGGAAGGAAGCGAGGGTATCAGGCGGTAAAAGGGAGATGGATGAGTAATAGGTTACGGATAACAGCGGGGCAGTGGATGGTGAAAGGGTAAAGGACAGCAAGAGACTGAACTAGAAAGGGCTGAGAGGAGTGCAAAAGGTATCATCATCAGAGTTTGTGGAGTAAATCAGTCGTTGTCAAGAAGTCAATGAGTCAGGATTGTGTAAGAATGGTATATAATACCGACAAGATGAAATTAAGACACATGTGCAACATCTGGGTATCTTTATTGTAGACGTTTCGCCATCCAGTGGCTTTATCAATACAAATTCTAGGACATAATTTGAAGACAGTAGAACTATATACAGAAGATGAGGTAATCAGTCCCTCAACCTAGAAGTAAGTGCGAAGAGCACCATAGTCGTGGAGATTCTGATTCAGAATCTCCACGACTATGGTGCTCTTCGCACCTACTCCTAGGTTGAGGGACTGATTACCTCATCTTCTGTATATAGTTCTACTGTCTTCAAATTATGTCCTAGAATTTGTATTGATAAAGCCACTGGATGGCGAAACGTCTACAACAAAGATACCCAGATGTTGCACATGTGTCTTAATTTCAGAGTCAGGATTAAAGGAGGGTCCATCAGCAAGAAGGGAAGGTAGAGAGAGAGTAGTAGAGCGGA